TCCTGTAAGGAGACGATTTAAATGTCTTCAAAGAACACTCAAGAGGCACTTACCTTGTCATGGAAGTTCTCAAGTCCATCGCTATAGAATCTGAAACATGTAAAGATGTAGTACATCTGAGATCACCATATGGCTGAGACACGTGGTGACACGTGGTGGATCTGGAGAGTCACTGACTCTCACCTGTGTATGTATAGAGATGATGATATTTAAGTGATAGAGTTTTTCTCTTCTTCCTTAGTTTTCAACAAAACATACCAGCCACTTGTAGGACACGCTTTGGTTGCCAAGCAGTTATCGTGTAAAACACTGTGTCCTTCCACCCCAGCAACATTCAGTTTCCATCTCTTCCAAAGCCGAAGTCAGGGTTCCTGAAATTTCCACAAGCGCTCCTCACTTTATGGTAAATCTCCTCCTTCAGTGCCACCCCTTCGAAGCCCGAGCATCCCAGATGCGATACAAGGCCGCTCTCTCCACTCGATCGAGCCCTTCGCACGCGACGATGTTCATGATATCTCCTGCGGCCACCTTTTGAATAAATCCGTGCTCTTCCAGCTTTCCTTCTGCCACCGCTTCAAAGTACTCGCTCGGGCAAGTGTCGGGTGATATCGTACGACTCGTCTGCTCGGAGATCGGGATCCCATGTCCACTGGCGATGGAGAGGCCTTCCCAGTGATAGATGGTCCAGGTATCAAATGGGTCAAATAGTAGAAACCTTAAACGTTGCATGGGAAGTACTTATAAAACGAAAACAAGTCTTGGCCTTACGGTGGTCAATGCTGATCTATCATGAAAACAACTTCCTCAAACCTCTATATCAGCCCGTTTGTCAAGAATATTTTTTAGAAATATTTCTAGGTTTTTAACCCCTAAACCTTGGCCACAAATAACTGGCGGATTTTGCATGAACTGTTAAGTGCAAACAGTGGTGTAAAAATAATGTGATGTTTTTATTTCATATAATTCCTCCAAAAGCTGACATCATTGCCATACCTACAAAATCAAATATGCAGCTGGGAATCCAGATCCTAAAAGCCTTTTTAATCTAAGTGAAGCTTGCCTGCTTTAAAAACCTAAAAGAATAATCTTGGCACATCTAAGGGTTTCATGGGCGATCAGCGTACCGTTTCCATGGGAGGACCTGAATCAGAGGAGCTACGGAACGCTCTCCCTTGTGTTCTTGCAAAGCTGGAGCTAAGCAACCACAAACAGCGCCAGTGGCTGCTTGAAAACTCTGCCATCATTGATTACTCAGGCTGGCTCAGGGAACTGCTAGAATGCAAGACCTACGGAATGGTGGTAGAGCACCTCTGCGCAAGGAATACGCTCCTGCCGCCGCAGGACGCTGTGCTCGAGGGGAGGATGACGGTTGCGCTGGATCTGGACAACACACTCATCTCCCCCTCGTCAATTCTCTGGCGGAGCCAGTGTGATTTCGAGGTGAGAGATAATGGCAGTCGCAAGTGCATCGCATCTCGACGAGTTCCTGGACGCCCTGGCGCTGTTTGCCGAGGTTGTGCTCTTCAGCTCAGCCCCCTACGCAGCTCGCGTTGTCAAGCAGCTGGATCCACGTTCTTGGCCTCAGTGATTGCACGCTGTGGCACGACACCCGCCTCGGCAAGGAGGCGCTGTTCAAGGATCTGGCCATCCTCGGCAGGGACTTGCGCAAGGTTGTGCTGGTGGACAACGACCCTGGCTTCTTTTGCCAACCTGGGAGTGGCAACGAGATTGTGATTGGGAAGTTCACTGGGCAGAGGAGCGACGACGGGCTTCTCAAGCTACTTCCTGTGTTGCAGTCTCTGGCACAGCTTGACGACGTGAGGCCTGCTGTGCGCACTTATCAGCAGCCTCAAGCACAAGGTAATAATAGTTCACTTGTTCTCGATCTAAAAGCTTCAATGGTGTTGGTTTTCTACGTTGTTGTGAGAGGTCAAGCGCTGAGGACGTGGCGAATGGCTATAGAGGACAAGTATTCGAGGAAGTTGTTTTCATGTTAAGGTTTGGTGAAGTTGACGATTAGAATTAGTTGACCAGAACTAAGACGTTTATAAGTTGACTCAATGCATTCTCTTATTTGATCCATTTGATGCAGGAGGAAACCAAACCCGGAAGCGGGAATGGGTGGCACCCATGGAAAGCCCTCTGGAATGGGTGGCACCCGGGGTCATGGAAAGCCCTAGAATTATTCACTGATGCGGAGCAAAAACTCTGTGGATGCCATCAAACTCATCGTCATAACGACCATCGTCTTTAGCTAGAAGTAGCAGCAGTGGCAAATAGAGCGTAGGCTTGATCTTCTTCACGCACTGAACCAGGCTTTGTCGCTTATCTGTGACGAAGAGGCACACAAGATGAGCATCTCGCTCAGCCATTTGCGACCATCCGAGGTATTCGATTGAAGTCCTTGGCCTGTGGAGCCTTGATGGGCATCATGTAGAAGGCTGCCTTTGGAAACACGGCCAAGTTCTTGAGCTTGTCACACATGGCCCCGACCTCCACCACCATAGCTTTGGTCACGCAGACGTTCATCAAGATCCCGTAAGTCATATGATCTGGCTAATGCTTCTCCTCCGATTAAGCTCTGCCCTCTGGATGTTGCCACTCTCTACACACACGTTGGGCAACGTGTTGTAGATGCCATTTCTTCCGCTTGATGGTGTTGTAGGGCCTGGTGTACATGTCGATGAGGATGCTAAGAGTTATCTCCGACGGCTCCAAGCCATAGCTTGCCAGCTTGTCAACATCCCTTGGGCGAGTGTGACTTTCCTTGCTCGTCCTAGAGTTCCAATTAGAATGTTAAAGAGAACTTGATCTTGCACTTGCTCCATGTCTCGGAAGAGCCGCAAGATCACCTGTTAGTCCCCAACTCTCAAATAGATGTTTGTGATCACACCAAGTTCAGGAGGTCCATGGTCTCTGCCGTTCTTCCAGCCTTCCTGTATGGCACTGTATGTAACTCTGTCGAAAGAAACCCCGGTTTCACAAAGCTGGTGGAACCAGGCCATGGCATCCTCAACTCAACCGCAACACTTGGAACAGCTAACAAAGATGCTGAAAGTGTAGTTGTCCAGCATGATCTTTTCCTCGAGCATATCCTTGGGAAGTTCTCTTCCAAAAACCTCCACTGTTCTCCATCGCACAGTAGCTTGAGCATCATGTTGTATGCAAAGACAGTGATCTCAAAAATCTCTATGATCTCTAATAATCTCATCTAGCCCCTACTACAGCCACAAAATTCTACTCCCTTATATTAAACTCTTGTTCTTAGTAAAGAACTTTACCACCATGTTCTAATATACATCCACCTATACCAAGTATGGGGACCCAAATTGCTTTCCACACTTTGTTTTTTATCTCTGTAGCAAAATAAACTAGGCCACCAAATCGTCTCAAGAAAATACTAAACATTCAGTCTTTAAACAATATGAACTTTTCAATTCTCAAACATTTTGTTTAAAGGCTTTTTAATCTCAATTAAAAAGCTATAGTGAGAAAAGTCAAACATAAACATGAATACTGTAGATAGCTCTCTCCAAAACAAATATAAACATCTATTCGACGTAAAGTCAATAGTGTCAAATTCTTGAACTATGGCTATTCCCGTCCAACACAAATGGACAGCGATCTATGCTTGCAATTGCGAGCCGCTTTGCTGCGCCATCAAATCCCCCTCGAGCCAGTCCAGGCTCAAATCTCTTGCCAGGAGCATCACTCCCTCTTTGATCGCTCGCGGCTCGACTATCTCACCAGAATTCTGGAAGAAAACGATGAGGAGCTCCTCCTCCAGCTGCCACAACAACAGCAAACCTCTTACCAGGTACTGCTCCGCGAGCTCACGGAAATTGTCTCCTGTTGTCTCTCCCCCAATTCTTGTGCCAGCAGTTCCTTGTCCATGGACGCCGCCTCTCCTCCTCATTCTCCCTCGCGCACCTCCAGCGTCTCCTTCCACAGCTTGCTCATGGACTGCGCCCGAGCAGTGGCTGCCAACAACTCCACCAAAGTCCATGAGCTCGTGAGAGAGATCAGAACTTTAGCCTCACCTCAGTCGCGTCCAGTGGAGAAGGCCGCGCTCTACTTCACCAACGCGCTCGTCGCGAGGCTGGCCGGGTGTGGAGCTCGGATGTACGCCGCGATGCACCAGGACGTGACGAGGATCCAGAGTATCGCCATCCGGATGAATCTTCCCAGCCTCCGGGCCACGGAGCGCTTCGCCAACCAGATGATCCTCGAAGCCTGCCGTGGTGCCAAGCGTGTCCACATCGTCGACTATGGGATCCTCTACGGCGACCAGTGGCCGTCGCTCATCAAGGCGCTGTCCGAGAGAGCCGAGGGGCCGCCACTGTTCAAGATCACAGGCATTGACTTCCCGTCCCTTGTCAACCTCGAGAAAACTGGAAACCGGCTGGTCGACTACGCAGAGTCGTGTGGGATGCACCTCGAGTTCCACTCCATCGCCACCGCGGCGTGGGAGTCAGCGCAGCCGCGATACCATCTCTTCAGCGAGCTTCTCTTCGTCAACTGCCAGCTGAGGATGCGGCACATCCGCGAGGACGGGATCATCGACAGCCCCCGGAAGCTCTTCTTCGAGAAGATCCTCAGCTTCAAGCCTGTTATGTTTTTCCAGTCCGTGGTGCACGCTGAGATGGGCTCTCCGTTTTTCATCCACCGCTTCGACGGGGCCTGGAGGAGCTTTCTGGCAAGGCTGGAGTCGTTCGAGGAGACGATGAAGCTTGGGTTGATCGACCAGTCGCAGCTCGACTTCATGGATAAGTTCATCGAGAAGTGCGCCATGGGAGCCATTGCCTGTGACGGGCAGAACCGTGTGGAGCGCATTTCCTCGTACAAAACCTGGGATCGCCTGGCTCGGAAAGGCCAGTTCGGACAGCTTCCAGTCAGCAAACAAGCGTTCGAGATGGTCATGTCCGTTTGGAGCGGACACGAGAACTTCACGTACGGAATGGACGAGAACTGGCTGCTGCTTGGCTGGAAAGACGTAATCTTGAATGCTTTGAGCGTCTGGAAGCCCATTGAGAAGCTACCGCGCTTCAAACACCAGTGATCCACCCTGTACCTACATTCTTTTTGTAACTTCTTTGTTCCTGCTCGTGTCCTTCCTGTAAGGAGGCGATTTAGATGTCTTCAAAGAACACTCAAGAGGAACTTACCTTGTCACGGAAGTTCTCAAGTCCATCGCTATAGAACCTGAAACATACCAGCCACTTGTAGGACACGCTTTGGTCGCCAAGCACTCATCGCGTAGAGCACCGTGCCCTTCCACCCCAGCAACATCCAGTTTCCATCTCTTGCGAAGCCGAAGTTGGGGTTCCTGAATTTTCCACAAGCGCTCCTCACTTTATCGTAAATCTCCTCCGTCACTGCCACCCCTTCGAAGCCTGCTCGCTTTGCCCGAGCATCCCAGACGCGATACGAGGCCGCTCTCTCCACTCGTTCGAGCCCTTCGCACGCGACGATGTTCATGATATCTCTTGCGGCCACCTTTTGGATAAATCCGTGCTCTTCCGGCTTTCCTTCTGCCACCGCTTCAAAGTACTCCATCTTCTGCTTGTAAAACTCGAGGGCGTTCTTGAACCGCTGCAAGAACAAGGGCGAGCCCATATCGGCACTGATCTCGGTTTGCAAGAACAAGTCCGGCCTGAGCCCGCAAATCTTCCCGAGGAAAACTTCTCTGGGATTGTCCACCGCAACCGTGCCATGATCTCGCAAGTGGCGCAGCCGGAGCACGCTATTCACCACCAGCACCTCGTTCTTACACCGGATAATCCTCTCCTTTTCCCAGTTCTCGCTTGCCACTGCCATGAACTCGAACGGAACTCCACACGATCTCGCAAACTCGACCAGCTTCCTCCCGGTCTCGGCCAAGTTGACGACGTGAGGACAATCCACCCCAGTGATCTTGAGCTCGGGAGGACCGCCGCTACGCTGGGACAAAGCCTTGATCAGATACGGCCACTGGAAGCCATACTGGATGCCATAGTCGACGATATGGACGCGACGAGCTCCTCTAGCCAGCTCCAGTATGTGCTCGTTGGCGAATCTTTGCGAGAGCTTCAAGCACGGGAGATTCAAGAGCCTCACGGACAAGTACTGGCGGCGAGTGACCTCCTTTGCCATGGCGGCGTACACCTGAGCCCCAAAGCCCTCCAATCGGGCAGTCAGTGCGTCGACGAAGAATGAGATCGTCCGACACAAGCATCCCATCGATCCCGACGATCGCCACAGCGCGCCCTTGATGTCACTGACCAGCGCGAAAGCCCGTGAGGAATCCCCCGCCGCCACCGCCTGGGCGCAGCGGACGAGCAGATATTCCAAACCGCCATCGCTGTCGCTGTTCTTGGGAGAATCAAGAGGCCGCGGCGCAACGATCGCTGTGAGCTCGCTTAGAATCTGGCAGTACTCACCGGACCGCGCGAGCTGATCGTGATCCTCGTTGTCGCCGTCGTCGTCCAGCAGCACGCTCGAAATGTAAGACACTGTCGGATCCATGAAACCCTTGCGTGCCTCCTCGTCGTCGTCCTCCAGCGGTGGATCTTGCCGCAAGCCGTGGCGCAGCAGCGCGCACTTAAGCATCGATGAGAGATCGATCGACGCCATCGTCCTAGACTCGCGGAACTTTGAATTTTAGGGTTCTTGGAGAGAGAGTCGTGTCCAAATGGAAGACAAGACTACCGATCAAAAGCCGTGCAATCTCTCCTCACGTCGCCATCGCTCCCAACCTTCACTCCAACGCTCGACAGTCTTTGCATCGCGGCGCCAAATTCCTGGTAGAACTTTTGCTCGTCTCTCGCGAATTCCCTGATCATCTCCCTCGTCTTGCGCTTGGCGAGGAGCGTCTCGTCCGAGATGAGCAGCGCGTTTCCAGCGACGAGGGTCTTGTAGTAGGAGTTGTCGAAGGCGAATGGAGTGGAGGGATCGAAGGGCAGCACCAAGCCTGGATCATCGCCACGCTCGGGACAGGCGGCCTTGAGGCTCGACGCGAAAACCGGAGGGAGCCTCGGATCCATTGCGCGATCGCGGCTAAAGTTGTAGAGCCTCTTGTGGAATTGCTTGCAGTGAGCGAATCCAAAAGTGTGAGCACCTAGGGAGGAATCCATGAAACTTTTCGAGCTTTTAGATGAAAAGCTTTGAGAGCTTACCACTCAGTACCACGAGATCTTCCATGTCCAGTCCTTTGCTCTTAAAGTTGCGTAAAAGTTGATGGAGATTCAAGGTGGAGCCTGGAAGGTTGTCCTGGACCCTCGCGGCCTCGGAGATAAATCCATCTTTTCTTCCCTTGAGAACAGGATACGAAGGCCCACCAGTCTGTCAATCAAAAAGACCTTTTGATCAACCTGGAAGCTAGAATTGCATGAGAACTAATGAAACTTAATCTTACCAGCTCTATGAAGTTTCTCGCTATGATCACCAAGATGTCAGCACAAGACACCACTCCCGGGCACTCGGCTTCCACCGCCGCCTTTGCTCGAACCACGGCATCAAAACCATCACCAGCCAAGTCCCTGTTAACTTCCGCGTCTCTTTCAGCCAAGTTGTCCGGAGTAGAAGTTATCATGATCGAGGCATCGCATCCCTGCACCATGCAAACAAGATCATCACAAGATCGAAAAATAAAAAGCAGAGAAACGAGAAAATCGGACTTACCTCTATGAAGCAGTCGTGGAACAAGAGCCTCACAACAGCCGCAGGAGTCGTGGGTGCTTCGGCCAGCTTAAGTTTAGCAGAGGTTGCGAGGATCTCTTCCAAATTTGGACACGTCTCGGAGTAATAGCCGAGCTCGAGTTTATCTGCTGCTGCGCTAAAAACCACCAACGAAGCCTTCAACAAGGAAACCATTACCAAAATCTCACACGCTGGCGCCATAGCGCAGCGCAGCTCGTGAGCAAACCTTGGACGAGCTGGGCCTTTTGCGCACCATTTCTAAACGAAATAAAAATAAACAGGCTCGTTAGCTGGAGCTGGCCCAAAAAAATCACTATACTATACTTAGAAGCGAACCAGTTTTGAGTGGACTAAAATGACGATGCATTCTTCCAGAATATACAGTTTCATTTCTGTTGGAGAACGGAAAAAAAAAAGAAGAGAAAGGTAAACAAAAAAAAAACGGAGGATGAGGAGGATCGAGAAATAAGAACCAACAAACATTAAGGAAACAAAGCTTAAAAAAAAGTATGGAAACTGAAGAACCTTCTTGTCGTAGAGAGTGCCTCACTGAAAGAATTTGACTCCTACTGTTTTTCTTTCTTTCACTGACGAAGAACTGATGTCCTGTACCGGTTCGGGAAAAGCTGCTCTTGCCTGTTTCGATCGACCATCGCTTCTACACCCGGGCCCTCTTGCTGCAAGACGGGCATTTGTACTGCTTGATGTGTTCCGCTCTGGCCGGTGTAACCTTGACACAGCTCCCATGAAACCACTTTTGGCACGTATCGCATCCTATCCAGAACTCCTTCTTGTCCGCGTTGTAGGGGCCATTGCAGGTCCCGCAGAAGGTGTCACCGTGCTCCTCCTCGTCTTCGTCGTAAGGAGAGTCTTCGTCCTCCTCGTCGCTCGATGGGGGCTTCTTCTGCGGACGCAGTGACACCATTAGCAAGCACGCAGAGAACCAAGTTCGCCTTACAGATTTCGCACTAGAAGCCCTTTTGGAGCTGCTGTTGCCGTTTGTTTTCTCCTGCGCTTGCTTCTTCCCGGTGACCGTATCGTAGATGGTTGGAAGCGAGTTCATCAAGCTAAACAAGCGCTTCCTGTGTGCCACACGCGAAAAAGAGAGAGAGCAAAAGACAACACACATCAGGGAATGGGAAAGATAAAAGAAAATAGGAGAGTCACCTGTCTGCCCTGTCAAAATGGGCACCATAGAAAAAAGCCACTGCAATTAACCACGCGTCGCTGTGGACTGCTACTAGCGACAGCCATGCCTTGCGCTCCATCCCATCTCTCGCAAAGTTGATGCCGAGCGCCGGCTCCGGGAGCTCCGGAGGAACTTCTTCCGCTGGGAAATTCACCTCCCAGCTCTCGTCGGGAAATCCATACAGGCACAGGTTTTCCTTGTCTACACACACAAAAAACACCCACGCACGAACGGCGGCAGTCAGAGTTTAATCACTCTATCCGAGAGAAAAAAAGAGAAAAAAATTCAAGGCCCTGAGAACTAAATGAGCGCACCTGGATCGCATTCATTGCAGAATTGCTCCACATCTGGGCAGCCCAAAACAAAAGCAAGGCAAGAAAAAAATCTCTCATCAGTACCGGTCGAGCAAAAAAAGAGTGGGAAAATTCCACGATTGAGTGGAATTGGAGGAGCTCACCTTCTGTCAGCGCTTTCACCATTCCAGCTCTCCGGTTCTTGAAATCGGTGAAAATCTCCTCCACAGTACGTGGGTTGTATGGAGCAGCATTTTCCATGGCGGAATTCGTCCAAGAGCGAGCCCAAGAATCGCGCAGCGCAGCTCCTACACCCAAACCCTAGTCACTAAAACCCTGGCAGCCGCGGCCAAGAAGGAGCGCGCATCGCCGCCGAGGAAAAGGCCAATCCGTGGAGAGCGCCGAGAGGGATTTACCGTGGGGCGGGAGCTGAGAGAGAGGCGGCGGTGGAGCGGCCGCGGCGCAGCAACACAGATCTCGCGCACCCAACGCCCAACCAGCGACGAACCAAACCCTAGCGAGACAAAAGAAACCAACAAGATCCCTCTTTGACTGTTAGCATATGCTGATTCTGTTAAGTGCGGAGGCGAATATTCGTCACGGTAGAAAAAAGTATGAAGCCGTTGACGTCCCCGAGAAAGAAAAAAGAAAACCATGGAACTGAATGTTCTCAAACTTTTTTTCCTTTTTTTCGATCATAGCGTTATCAGTGTTGTCGATTACAAACCAAAACAACTTTAGCTTCTCTCATCTATAGGACGGTCACGAAATGTAGCTACAAAGAAAGGAAAAAGGATAGAACAGAACAGAGCTTGGATCGATGGGGTGGATCGATGATCGCTCGCTGCGAAAAGAAAGAGGAATCGATCGATCACGCGCTGGCCCGGGAGACGAGGAGCTCGCTGATGTCCCAGAGCTTCTTCCCGAGCTGTGGATCCAGCGCCTTCTTGGACGGCTTCGCCTCCTGGCAATCCGCGAGGTAGCGGCCGCTCACATCCGCCATGTCGGGGTGGATGGCCGCGTAGATCGTCGTCGCCGCGCCCTGCTCCACGCTCTTCCATTTGCCCGCGTATATGATCTTGACGAAGAGCTTCATCGCCGCCGAGTGGCGCCACAGCGGCGTCCCGATCAGCCCCGGGTGGACCGCGTTGGCCGTGATGTTGATCTTCTCCCGCTGGAACATCACTGCCAGGGAGTTCGCATGGAGGATGTTGGCCAGCTTGGATTGCCCATACGCCTTCTTGGAATCGTAGCTCCCGCGATCGTTGATAGCGTCGAGATCGCGGATCCCTTCCTTGTAACCCACCGTCGTGTGCGCCACCGACGAGAGATTGACGATCCGGCCCTGGATCCCGGATTTCGCCGCCGTCTCCTTCATCGTGTCGAGCAGGAGATTCGTGAGCAAGAAATGGCCCAGGTGATTCGTCGCGAACTGCGATTCCACGCCGTCGGCCGTGAGGCTGAAGGGGCAGAACATCACACCCGCGTTGTTGATGAGGAGATTGAGCGGCAGGCCGGATTTCTTGAAATCCTCGACGAAGCCCCGGACGCTCGCCAGCGACGCCAAATCCAGCTCCATACACTGCACCGACGCCCCCGGCAGCTCCTTCTCCATCGCCGCGCGGGCTCTCTCCGCCGCTTCCTTGTTCCTGGCCGCGATCACAACCCTGGCGCCCTGCTTCGCAAGAATGCGCACCACTTCCGCGCCAATGCCGCTCGCCCCTCCCGTGACGATTGCCGTGAGATTCTTGGCGTCAATCCCCTGCGCCACTTCCTCAGCGGTGGAGTGCGCGCCATAGCCTGATCGCTTCCCCATTCTTTCTTTCTCCCTCGTATAAAAGACACTTTCCTATAAACCCTAAACGCGCGCGATCCAATGGCCTAGATCTAAATATATCCAACGGCCGGAACCGACTAATCGGATCCAACGGCCGGTAATATCGATCGCACGGCCCCAGCACGTCTTGCGTGGAAGACCTTTAACCGCGTTGGCATTTAAAATGCTCCAGGCGCTCGCCAAGAGCCCTAGATTCGATTCTTCCTCGTCGCGGCTGCGCGATCTCCTCAATCTCATCGACGCGGGATCCATCCGCCCCGACGCGGCGGATTTCCGTCGCCTCATCGCGGATTGTACAGATCTTCGCCTCCTCCACGAAGCAAGATGCATCCACAGCTTGGTCCACCGCCACGGCCTCGCCGGCGATCGATTGATCGGCAACTACCTCGTCAAGATGTTCGTGCGCTGCGGCGACATCGACAGGGCGCGCGAAGTCTTCGATCGGGTAAGCGCCAGGGACGTGATCCTCTGGACGGAGATGATCGCCGCATATGGCGAGAGGGGATATTTCCAGGAATCGCTGGAGCTTTGGAAGATCATGAGGCTCGAGGGAGCCATGCCGGACCTCATCGCATTCGTCACAGCGCTCAAATCTTGCTGCTGCCCGGCGAGCCTCGGCACTGGGGCTCTCATCCACTCGATGATTCTCGAGAGCGGCCTGGGATCCAACGTGATCGTGGAGACCGCGCTGGTGAATATGTACGCTAGATGCGGCAGGATCGAGCAGGCAACCACGATGTTCTTCGGGATTTCTCACAGGGACATTGTCGCGTGGAACGCTATCATAGCGGTAAATGCCGAGAGAGGGCATTTTGGCCAGGCCATGCATCTCTTCCATTCGCTGCTGCTCGAGGGGGAGAGATGGCCCAACAAGAGCACCTATGTGGCGGTTCTCTCGGCTTGCAGAGATCTCCACGATCTCAAGCTCCTCCACTCGTGCTCGATCCACGGTGGCCTGGAGCTCCACGTAGAGGTCGCCACGGCACTCGTGCACGCGTATGCCCTGCTCGGGCACCTCTCCATCTCTCGCTCGATCTTCGACCGGTTGCTCTGCCAAGACCGAGACATCGTCCTCTGGAACGCGATGATCGAAGCCTATGCCCAAGAGGGCGATCGCGAATCCATCGCCCTGTTCCGGCAAATGCAGCTCCTCGGCTGCCAGCCAGACCGAGCGACGTTCCTGAGCTTGCTCTCGGCGTGCTCGGCTATGGTGGACCTGGAAGAAGGAAAGAGACTACACTCGCGGATCGGGAGCTGCCTCGAGGACTTCCAGATCCAAAACGCGCTGCTTGCGATGTACGCCAGGTGTGGGAGGCTCGAGCTCGCGCAGCTCCTCTTCGATGGTATGCCCGAGAGGTCGGTCTTCTCTTGGAACTCCATGGTGGCCGCGTATGCTCAGCACGGGCATCTTGACCAAGTCTTCCAGAGCCTCAAGAGGATGCAAAACGAAGGCGTCAAGCCCGACAGCGTGACGTTCGTGAGCGTCCTCAGTGCTTGCAGTGGAGCCGGACTGCTGGCAGAGGGCCGGAGCCACTTCGAGTTTGTGAAGCGTCACATTCGCGAGTGGCCGAGCACCGAGCACTACGGCTGCATGATCGATCTCCTTGGTCGCCTGGGAAGATTGGAGGAGGCCGAAAGACTAGTTTTGGAGGTCCCGGACGAAGCAGCGGACGCGGTGCTGTGGAGAACACTGCTCGCTGCTTGCCGGACTTACGGAGATTTGGAGCGAGGGAGACGAGCGGCCGAGAGAGTGGTGGATTTAGATCCGGACGACTCTGCTGCTTACGTCGTGCTCTACAACACAGTTGCCACTTAGAACAAAGCACGGAGAAGAAAAGACCGATGCAAGAGACCTCAGGAAATTGGATGATAAGTTACGTGAATAGTTTCCTGGCTGCCAGAGCAACGAGGCCTTTGAAACACTACTAAGAAAAACAAACTACGCGCTTCACGGCTGGATTTTCCTGAGAAGATCGAAAGGTTCTGAGGAGAAAACGAAGGAAAACAAGCGCTACCTCTTTTGTGAGCTTAGAAAGATGGCTTCCGGATCGGTCTCGAGGGTGGAAGTAAACCACGGCGAGCTTGACGCTTGAGGTAGTGACGCCGCGCAGCAATCATCTCCTTGTGCGTTGGTCCCTGTAAAAAACGAAGGAAGTTCATGCCAGAAACTTTGCATCGATTGCTTTTTACTTTTGGAAGGTCATAGAAATCGTCCGTCGTTGGAGAAGTTCCATCTTCCTGGAAAGAAAAAAAAAAAAAAACAATCAGAGAGCTTGAATCACTAAGATCTCAAAAATGTACCTTGTTCTCCCCCTCTGGAGCTCCCTCTTCCTGGGAAAGAAAACGAGCGATCAATCTACAAGCCGAGGAAGCATCGCATACCTTTGGCGGCGGGAGATGGGGTCCAATCGCGGGGAAGAAAGAGTACCCTCGAGCACAAATCACGAATCCACCATCGCTAGCGTGCGGCACTGCGTGCGAAGCGCTGCCACGGGATGCATTGGCGTGCAGTGCTTGCAGAGCCTTGCCCGAGCTCCTTACCGCTCGAAACATTGCCGCAAACCCTAAACCCCGTTACAGTTTAGGGCATTTCATGTTCTTAGAATATTCCTTCTGAAAATATCTCATTTTCTTAAATAAATAAATACAACTTTGGAATGATGGTTTAAAAGGAGGTCCACCAAACGTTAAGTGATAAACCAGGTGATCTCCATCTAACCTCCCACCAATACCAAATTGCACTTTGTGCAAATTTGCTACCCACATCCCATGTTTCCTAAGCATTGCAGGCATAACCTTGTTGTTGTCAAACATTGCCATTGCCTGGATGTTTTCTCCAAATAGACAAAACCAAGGGCTTCTACATCAATAGTGTCAGATATCAAGTTTCCAAGCACCACCTTTCCTAAAACCCAAAAAGCCATCCATAAAAGAGAAAAGAAAAAGAAAAATAAGAAATTTACTAGTTACAAGTGAGGAGCTATTGTATTGATATGGCCTATTGTATATTTCTTGATGCAAGTCTATGGGAAGATTTGTTTAGGTTTCCAAAGTTGTCATCTTGCACTCTAAATCCCACATGTTGACACACTTGAGTAATCTGATGAAGTAAAGCTTATCCTCCAGAAGTATGCAATTGTTAGCATTTTTTGGAGAAGATATAATGATTTATGTATTTGATTTTTCATCCTTGATAAATCTTTTTTTTTTAACTTAATTTGACTTTGTGTTTGCACTACATTCAGTCTAATCTAAAAAAGAGTTTATGAAAAAATACAATAATGAATACTAAGCTAATAGATTAGTCTTGATTGATCTAGTTATAATTATGCTTAAGAAGGATCCACTAGTGCCATGCTAAATAATTGTGGATTAGCCTATTTGCCACTCATAGCAAACTTAGGGGAAGTTTAATTTTACTCATAGTAACATAATAACAATTCATAATAACCATTGATAGGTTTATATTAATCACACCATAACCTTTAAGTTGTTAATATGCTTCATTTACAAGCCCAAGTGGACAAATGATTCATCCCAAATCCATTTTACAAACTCAAGCGAAAGCTTATGCAATATGGTACAAAAATGGTATACATTACTACTAGTGGTACTAACACATAAGTTTGGCTAGACTGTGGCACTCTTTCTTTTACATTTGCCAAAAAAAATTACCAAGCTCCACACTCAAGTGTATCCAAGCCTCAATGTACTAGTTGTCAACATGAAAGCATCCAAATCAAAAGTAAAGGCTTATAAGAATGTAACATAGCAAATTTGAAATTCAGCAAAAGCTATATGTTTGGGTGCTTGGACACTAAGAGCTTGATTGAAATATATAAACACTGTTTAGAAAATATATTATGAGAAAAATGATTGTTATAATGAAGCTCAAAATAATACAAGTGGGAATTCCAAAAACATAGTGAAAAATGGAAAAGCTAAAAATACCAACAGACACAAGTCAAAAATCCTAAAATGTTGTAAAAACTCTTAACACCAGTTGAAAGTCAAGCAACTCCAATAGAAATCCCTGAAAAATTAGCCAAAATTGAAGGAACTCTAATAGCATAGCTCCACTATGTCAAATGTAAAGAATCTAGAATAGATAGACATCACTATAGGATGGCTAGATAGCATATTTGGGGCTTTCTAAAAAACTTTTGCCTTGCTTTTGCTTTTAGAATATGGATGAGGAGAAACTTTGGTGTTGGAATTGTAAAATTCTTGCACTATAACTTTATCAAACTTTTGTAATGCACTTTACAATTGTTGACAACTGTGATTAATCAATCTGTGTTGCCCATCCCAGACCTCTCCATAGTAGGCTATCTAATGCCCCAAACCATAAGGAATACTGCTCAAGACCTATGTGGAGATTATGACCTACCCTGTCAGCTACCTCCTTACCATCACAGATCACTTGAACTCTTCATCCATGCTTGGGTGTTTTAAAAACCTATGCAAAATATCTTGCTTCACATTGAGTGAGAGTTGTTATGTGGCCTTGAGAAAGCTCTCCACAGGTTGTTTGGCTATCCTTCTATCTCCTATCTCAGCCATTACTCTATGAGTTCCAGCTCTCCACCATTACCCTCATGTAACTGGTACAAGTAGTGTAATAATGATGTCATCTTGATGTTGTGACACACTCCTATTGGATAATTAAATGTATGGAAAAAAGGGAGAGCTCACAAAGCTTTGTTCTAGAACCATGCATGCTTAAGTTGTAAATGAGCTCATAACATGTGGAAATGGAAAAGATGACCATCATCACTTGGAAGTGGAGCACACTTCCAAGTAGAATCTTTGTTGTATGGTTAACATTGGTTGTTTCCAGTTTATTCTAACTAAAAATAAAGGTTTGGGTTTATCTAATAGACTTATATTCTATATTTAGAGAAGTGGGGATATATACATACATAAATATATATACATATATAAAATTCATATAAAATTTGTGATGCATGAGATATATTAACAAATTGCTGTTTCTAATAAAGTTAGGACAAAATGGAATGTGAGAAGAATACATATGGCACTTCCTAAGCTAAATAAATTTTAAAAAATATAAATACCTATACTGCAAGCTATATATTTCTATTTTATATATATATTTTATATTTTAAAAAATGAATTACAGTTTTAGTTTTTCTATTTGTCATACCAAGAAAAATATTTTATATTTATACTTTTTATTTTATATTCACAGTTATTGTGTTTGTATTAAAACATTGTATGAAAATCCAGCAGGGGTTATTTCAATTGAGGTTAGACAAAACATAATAATACCAACTATTAAAGAGCTTATTAAAGAAGTAGGCAAAAGAAAAGAAATTTTTATGGGATTTTCTTACTCTAAAATTTTACATGAACAAGATACTAGCTTACTTATTACAATAAGTGCACTTGACATGCAAATGTCAAGAAAAAACTTTTATATATATTGTACTATTATTCCTTTTCTTTTTACTTTAAATAATGGTAAAGCCATAGAGAAAGAGTTTACTTTAACATTACAAAATTATGTTGAGCAAGACTTAGTAACATATGGATCTGTAGAGTATATAAATGGAAGATATTCTATATCATATGTATTAGATAAAGATAGTAATGTTTACTTACAAGAGTTTCTAAATACTAATAATTTTATTTTATTTAAAGAAGAAACAGATTGTATTCTTCATAAAACCTGTATTAAAAGTGGACCAAATTATTCATCATTTTCTCGCCTTAGGGAAGGAGAGTTTCTTCAATCACCAAATTTAGTATTTATTTTATATATGCGATTTGATTGTAATCTTGTGTTATATTATGGTAAAATTTCTATTTGGGATACTGAAACATCAGGAAAAGGTATTGGATGTTTTCTACGTTTTCAGAAAGATGGAAATCTTGTTATTTATAATCAGTATCATAACGTTGTATGGTCTTATGATATTTATTGGAAGAATATTTGGGTTACATTTTCATTATGTGTAGAAAATACAGGTCATGTTACTGTATATAATACAAATAATCAGACATCTATTTGGAGAAGGCCTATAGAAAGAAAAAAATGAGTTATACTTATGAACAAATAAGAAATTAATTTATATTTAATTTTAAATAAATGTATACGAATTACTGAATAAGTAGATATTTTAGGACATAATTATTTTAAGAAATCTCTCAAGGAAATATGTTAAGACTATCTAAATTAGACAAATGAACTTATGTCAGAAAAATAAAACCATAAAATTGAACAAAGGAAGAATTATTACTTCAATAGAACCATATTTATGCAGATAACTCAGTTGAGTATAAATGGACCATAAACAATTGTATCACAAAGTGCCACGTAGCATTTTATTTGGCACTAAATGTCATATTAGCATACCTAGTGGGCGGAGTTTTTTTAAAACGCTATTCATTATTTTTTAATTTTATCTCACGATTAAGAAAGAACTCGAGTTCTTTATTTTTTCTAAGATCTTCAAAACTTGTTTTTTCAGTCCTCTGTGTTGCTTCAAGCCTCGGCCTCCTCGTCCATCTCTCCCTCGTCATCGGCGCTCGCGTCCTGGTACTGCTGATACTCGGACACCAGATCGTTCATGTTGCTCTCCGCCTCGGTAAACTCCATCTCGTCCATCCCCTCACCCGTGTACCAGTGCAAGAACGCCTTCCTCCGGAACATCGCCGTGAACTGCTCGCTCACTCGCTTGAACATCTCCTGGATCGCGGTCGAGTTCCCGATGAAAGTCGCCGACATCTTCAGTCCCTTGGGAGGGATGTCGCACACGCTCGACTTGACGTTGTTTGGGATCCACTCGACGAAGTAGGACGAGTTCTTGTTCTGGACGTTGAGCATCTGTTCGTCCACCTCTTTGGTGCTCATGCGCCCCCGGAACATCGCCGACGCCGTGAGGTAGCGCCCGTGGCGAGGGTCGGCTGCGCACATCATGTTCTTGGCGTCCCACATCTGCTGGGTGATCTCCGGGACGCTCAGAGCTCGGTACTGCTGCGACCCTCTGGAGGTGAGCGGAGCAAAGCCGATCATAAAGAAGTGGAGCCGCGGAAACGGGATCAAGTTGACGGCTAGCTTCCGGAGGTCCGAGTTGAGTTGGCCCGGGAATCGCAAGCAGCACGTCACGCCGCTCATGGTAGCCGAGATGAGATGGTTGAGATCACCAACTGCAGAACAAAAAAAGTGAAAAGAGATCCTAGATGAAAAGAAAGATGTTGCTTACATGTTGGAGTTGTGAGCTTGAGAGTTCTAAAGCATATGTCGTATAAAGCTTCGTTGTCTAGAACCATGCACTCGTCCGAGTTCTCAACGAGCTGGTGGACGGAGAGAGTGGCGTTGTAAGGCTCCACGACCGTGTCTGAGACTTTTGGCGACGGAAAGATGGAGAATGTGAGCATCATTCTGTCCGGGTACTCTTCTCTTATCTTGGAGATGAGGAGCGTTCCCATGCCAGATCCCGTGCCTCCTCCCATGGAGTGACACACTTGAAATCCTGACCAACAAATAAAACCATCCTCGTGTTAGATCCTTGAAAGAGTTGCAACTTAGATCGAGAAACTAGAACATAAAAACACCAGGTGGAAA